GAGGGGACTGGAGCATCTCTCCTACGAGGAGAGGCTGAGGGAGCTGGGCTTGTTCAGCCTGGAGAAGAGAAGGCTGCGAGGGGACCTTCGAAATGCCTCTAAATATCTGCAGGGTGGGGGTCAGGAGGATGGGGCCAGACTCTTTCCAGTGGTGCCCAGCGACAGGACAAGGGGCAACGGGCACAAACTGAAGCAGAGGAAGCTCCAGCTGAAGATGAGGAAGAACTTCTTCCCTCTGAGGGTGACGGAGCCCTGGCCCAGGCTGCCCAGGGAGGCTGTGGAGTCTCCTTCTCTGGAGATATTCCAGCCCCGCCTGGACAAGGTCCTGTGCAGCCTGCTCTGGGTGACCCTGCTTGGGCAGGGGGTTGGACTGGGGGACCCACAGAGGTCCCTTCCAACCCCTACTATTCTGTGATTCGTGATTCTGTAAAGCAGAGCATTTACGAAGCTACTCTTGACTCCAGGAGTCCTGGCCCAGCACATCTGCTCATCTCACAGCTCCCAGGCACCAAGACCACCCTCCGCAGCCTTGGGACCTCTTCGCTTTGCCTTACCTCTGTCACTGGGTGGATGGTGTCCCTCCAGCCCTGCCCGTGCTGTCTGGTTGCATCCCTCGCCCTGGGGGGATTGAAGGGGTCGAGTGAGACAGAGGGAAGGCGAGGTGGTCTGAGCTGAGACCAACACTGGGGAGAGGAGCCCTGTGCCGGGCCGGGCTGCAGGCTGGCCAGGCACAGGTCCCACCTTGCCATGGCATCTGGGGGCTGCGACCCTCTGGGGACTGTGACCCCTCTTCGCAGGAGAGCTCGCATCGCCCTTCCCTATCCAGGGCAGGCAGAAAGACTCAGCTGACACAGCTTGTGGGCTGCCCCCGTGGGTCCTGGGACTGCAGATCAACTTGGGACCATGCCCACGGGGGAATACATCCCACCAAACCAGCCAGGACACAGGGGGAAGATTTGGGGAGGGAGGGATGGAGCTCTGGACAGGCCCTGGCAATCTCATTCCCTCTACAGGCACCCCCCCCACTTCCCGTGATCATGGAGGGGGAGGACGGAGGGACCCCAGACCTCAGTCCAGCTGCTGTCCCCCACCAGCTGCAAAGCGAGGGCTTGGCGGGAGAGCTGCAGAGCACCCAGCACCCTGCCCACCGCAGCGGGTGCTGAGCAGGCGCGGGGACACCCGTCTGCCCACAGCCTGCTCGCGAGCAGGGTGTGCCCGGCTTTAGGTGGAGGCTAGTTCCCTCCACATTAAAGGAAATATCTCTGCCCACTCCCTGTCCCACAACAAGCCGCAGAGGAGCAATCATCTTTCTTTAGATTTTCCCCGCTCGGTTCTGCTGCCTGACTCATTCCTGGCACTCGCAGTG